ATTATTATCTCTAAAACATTCTTATAATCTAAAAATATTTTTTGTCGTCAAATAATCTGGAAAAGGTTGATAAACCGTAATATAAAACAATCTAAAAATCTTCTCTACTTGAACATCATCATGTCCCTTAGGTTCTTCCTTAATTTCTTCTTTCCTGACCTCTGTTCCATATTCGTCCATTTTCCTTTTTATTTTTTCTCTGTCCTCCATTTCTTCACGTTTCTCCTGGATTTCTCATATTTGGGGCCTTGTACCAAACTAAGATAAGCTCCAGAAACAACAAAATCGCTTCGTGGCCTTTTGAGCTAAGAGATGAAATTAACCAAATTCCCATTCTTAGCGGGGGCGGGAGCGTCGCCAGCAATAATTTCCTCATAGAACTTAAAGAATATTCAGGTTCACTCCCTGATGTCTCAGGTGTTCCAAAAGTAGAAGTTCGAAAGGAACTAGACTATTTATGGCACCATTCGCATCTACGTGTGAGCATATTCTCGTTAAATGTGACCTTTTGTCAAACTTGACACAGTTGGTGGGGGATAAGGTGAACCGTTTTCTTACATTTCTGTTTTTCTGCTAATTTTCTTTCTTTTTTATTTTTTTCTTTCTTTTTTATTTTTTCTTCCTTTTTTATTTTTTCTTTCTTTTTTATTTTTTCTTTCCTTTTTATTTTTTCTTTCATTTTATTTTTTCTTTCTTTTTTATTTTTTCTTTCTTTTTTATTTTTTCTTTCTTTTTTATTTTTTTCTTTCTTTTTTATTTTTTCTTTCTTTTTTATTTTTTCTTTCTTTTTTATTTTTTCTTTCTTTTTTATTTTTTCTTTCTTTTTTATTTTTTCTTTCTTTTTTATTTTTCTTTCCTTTTTATTTTTTCCTTTTTTATTTTTTTATTTTTCTTTCCCTTTTTTTCTCTTTCCCTTATTCATTTTTTCTTTTTGTTTAGATCTTTTATTTTTCTTTCATTTTTCTTTATTTTTATTTTTTATACTTCTGTGGTTTTTTATTTATCTTTGCTTTTTATTTTTTTATTTTTATATGCTTTTTTTATTTTTATATGTTTTTTTTTATTTTTCTTTCATGTTTTTTATATTTTAATTTCCTTTGATATTTATCTTTTCTTTTTTTTATTTTTCCGCCTTTTTTATTTTTCTTTCCATTTTCATTTTTATTTTACATATTTATTTTTCTTTATTTTTTTATTTTCTATACGTTTTTCGTTCCATTTTTTCTTTGTTTCCTTCTTTTATTTTTCTTTCTTTTTTATTTTTCTTTCATTTTCTTCTTTATCTTTTCTTTTTCTTTCATTGTTTTCTTTTTCTTTTTGCCTTTTCAATATCCCTCAAAAATCTCGTTCCCATAATTCATACATGCATACAAAGGTTCTATTTTAAAAGACAAGATTATAATTTGTGAGTGAGGGGCAGTAAACCTACCGAAAATTGCGGGAAAATATCTATAATACGAGCAGCTAGATGATGGCAAAACTTTAAAAAATAGCGGCCGTGGCTTTTGATTAATCGACTCCTCTTTGGTCGACAGAATCCTTAACAACAAATCCCTACCAAACCCCTCCACACGAACAGCTGCCTACAGTTGAAGAAAATCCCTAGATTTCGGTCTGGAGAACATATTTTAAAATAATCTCTTGAAATCGCCTTTTATTCTTGACATGCCTCTTCCGGTGACTTCCGCCGACTTCCGGTAGTTTTTTATTTCTCATCTCCGCCATTTTTATTTTTTTTTTTTTTTTCGTTTCTTCAAACAACTTATTTTCATTTTACCGTCATTTAAAAAAAAATTGATCGTTAGAACTAATTTCGTTTAAATTTTTGGTTTGATATTTTTTTATTTATTTGTTTATTTAGTCATTTTTTTTTATTCTTACCCGTTTTTGTTTTCTTTTTCTTTTAATTCTTTTCGTTTTTATTCTACGTATTTTTTTTTTCTTTCTGTTCCATCCTTTTGTAATATTTCCGAACAACCAGTACGGATTTTTTTTTAATGCTAAGGTGTGTGCGTTTGTGTGTATGTCTGTGTATGTTTGTGTGTGCTCTTTTCTGTGTCTGTGCACCTGTATATCAGTGTGTTCATGCGTATGTGTATGAATGAAAATGTGTGTATGTGCCTATGTGTTTGAATGCACGCAACTCCAACACTGTTTTTAATCACATCTTCTGGAAATTTCACCAGATCATTTGACTTCTCTCTTCATCTATCCTCTCCCCTCTCTCTATCTCTCCCCCACCTCTCTCTCTCTCTCTCTATCTCCCCCACCTCCTCTCTCTCTCTCTCTCTCTCTCTCTCTCTCTCATATAACCTTATATACAAACGGTTTCTCTCAAAAGATGTAAATATATCGTAGTTACCCTTTCTAAAGAATCGATTAATATTTCTACAGATTTATCTCGCACACACACACTCAATGCATATATGTAATCTATTCTCTCTCTCTCTCTCTTTCTCTCTTTCTCTTACTCTCTCTCACTCTTTCTCGCCCTCTGACCGCTCTCTTTGTCTCCCTCTCTCTCTCTTTCTCTTACTTTCTCATTCTTCTCTCTCCCTCCCCTTTTCTCTCTCTCGCTTACGATCTAATCTCACTCTCTCTCTCTCTCTCTCTCTTTCTTTCTTTCTCTTTCACACCTTCTCTGCTCTTTTCTCTCCCTCTCTCTCTCTTTCTTTCACTTTCTCATCCTCCCCTGCCCATAACATCACTTCAAATATATCTAAGTTGTAACGAAGATTTACATCCACATTTGATTTTAACGTTTATTCTAATTGAGTTTTTGGCCTTTGAATTAAAACAAAATAATTAACAATATATATATATATATATATATATATATATATATATATATATATATATATATATATATATTCCTCAGTTTCTTCTTTAAATAATTTATAATATTTTAAACTTAATACAGATGAAACTTAAAATTGGTAATTTTAATTTTTAATTTTATAGTAAAATTTAATATTAATCAATTAGAATGATTTCTATTTTAGTCTAACCCTAACATTAAGCCATTAATTATTATAAACAATGTTCGTTGTCAAGTTTTTTTAAATTCTCATATACTTGTATTTTGATCGGCCATTGCAGCTTATGTAACAGCGTTCCCCAAAGCGAGGGCTGTTTGGTCGATTTGAACCTTTTAAAACTCTTTATTCTACTTTCAACACCATCACTTCATAAGACACCAGAAGTGGTAAAACAAAATGGCTATTTTTGTAGTGATTTTATAACATATTTATATTATAAATTTTGAATAAATTATACACCCCCACACACACCACACACACACACACACACACACATATATATATATATATATATATATATATATATATATATATATATATATATATATATATATATATGAAAAAAATACAGAAAACAAACAAAATCTGAATATGCAATTATGTAGTATTAATGTTAATATAAAGTCGACGTCGGACGTTTCGGTGACTTTTATATTAACATTAATACTACATAATTGCATATTTTTTTTTTGTTTTTCTGTTTTTCTTTCATACTGTCGGATCTATATGCATATATTTGCTTACATATATATATATATATATATATATATATATATATATTTTTGAATAAAAGACAGACCACGTTAAGATTCCATGTAATAAGGTATTTCACCATAACCCCTTTAACAGGGTTCTGGATCATCAGACTTTACTTCAAAAAGCTAAAATGAAAAGAAATTCACACGTTTTTGACGGACCTCATCAAGTATACGTAAAATTAACGAAGTGGTGAAGTGAGGTGGGAGAGAGGATAATTCGTTAATTTTACGTATACTTGATGAGGTCCGTCAAAAACGTGTGAATTTCTTTTCATTTTTCATTTCAGCTTTTGGAAGTAAAGTCTGATGATCCAGAAGCCTGTTAAAGGGGTTATGGTGAAATAGCTTATTACATGGAATCTTAACGTAGTCTGTCTTTTATTCAAACATATCTGCTCTGAATTTTACATTGAGCTCTCTGGATATCATCCTCCTCAGGTCTACCCATACGGATTACCTAAGTTTGCATAAACTAACTAACTATATATATATATATATATATATATATATATATATATATATATATATATATAATATTCTGACTGTGTATGCATTGTGCTTTTAGGATTTTCTTCCATCATTTTTAACCAAAGTTATATAAATGAAAGCTGGCAGCCCAAATGCACTTTATGAAAAATTTCACGGTTTTCCTATTTTAATTTTCTGAGGAATCTTAATTCTTCAGTTAATGATTGTACAGCTCATGGTGAATTCTAAGACAATATAATTTCCGTAGAAATTCCTCTGTCGCATCGTTAAATATTTGACCTTAACAACTTTAACAAAACACAGTAGACTCCCTGACAACGGGATTAAGAAGGCCTTCCGGATATGAGGGATTGGTTACAAAGTCCGGATATGAGGGATTATATTTAGACTAAAATAAAGGAACTGAAATCAGGTTTAACATTCATTTGCAATGTTTTATTGTAAACAGAATAAACTAATGGTAAGTGAAATATAACAGAAATGATTTTAAGGAAAAAGAAATAAATTATGTAATGTTAATGAAAATTCATTTAAGTATGCCACGTATGGCCAAATACACTTTATGTATTATAATATACAATGGAATAAACTCATGAAATTTTCAAGGTTTTCCTATTTGAATTTTCTGACGAATCTTAATTCTTGCGTTAATGATTGAATAAGCTCATGGCGAGTTCTATGACAATAAAATATCCGTGGAAATTCCACTATCACATCGTTAAAATATTTAAGTTTAACAACTTGCAATAACAATCATAAATATGGATTATAAATATGGCTGTTATTGTAAGAAATGGATACAAATGAAAAAAATTGAATTTTCACTGAAACAACCGTTAAAAACTTCCATCTTGCATTCTTTCATTCGTATGTTTTTGGTATTTCTCGGCAATCAAAACGGAATAGTCCATTATTTATGAGGTATTGGCAAGAGATGTTAAATCTCTCTTTCTTTCTTTCTTTCTTTCTTTCTTTCTTTCTTTCTTTCTTTCTTTCTCTCTCTCTCTTTCTTTCACCGTTTCTTTCTCTCTCTTTCTCTCTCTCTCTGTCTCTTGCGTATGTCTTGTTTTTTCTACAGAATCAAAACGGAATAGTTCATTATTTATGAGGTATTAGCAAGAGATGATAAATCTCTCTTTTTTTCTCTTTCTCTCTCTCTCTTTCTCTCCCCCTTTTATCTCTTTCTTTTTCTTTCTTTCTCTCTCTCTCTCTCTCTCTCTCTCTTGGGTATGTCTTCTTTTTTTTACGGAATCAAAACGGAATAATCCATTATTTATGAGGTATTGGCAAGAGACGTTTAATCTCTCTCCCTTTTATCTCTCTCTTTCTCTCTCTTTCTCTTTCTGTCTCTCGCGTATGTCTTGTTTTTTCTACGCAACCAAAACGGAATAGTCCATTATTTATGAGGCATCGGCAAGAGACGTTAAACACTTCTATCTTCATTTCTTCTAGACAAATCCGCGTCTTTTGTTTATGGTAACTTGGTTTTTACCCTTGCCCGGATTCCGTCGTCAAGTATTGTACATCTCAAAAATGGCAATTTTATCTCAGGCTTCTGACTGAGATCAAAGTGTATTAGCTGTTCTAATCAGCTTAATCTAATTTTCTCTCTCCTATTCTTTCTTTCTTCTTTCTTTCATTTTATCACTGAAACCAAGTAATATCATTTGCCCTGTTTGCACACGATAAACACGCGAAGAAAGCCTTTATTAATGAGGCATTGGCAGGACAGAATGGTTGTGCTAACTGACTGTGGGAGAGACAAGCACAATTATGACAAGATATATCTGTGAGAGTGCGTGTGTTTGAGTACACACACAGGCGTATATATATATATATAATGTAAAATGTGTACGTATATATATATATATATATATACGCAATACTTATATATATATATTATTTATATATTATATATACGTGGTACTTATTGGAAAGCGCTCAATATCAGTGATAGAGCTAACATATTAAGTTGGATTGATGTGAGTTTGTGGCCCTGGGTTTCACGCTATTTGCGATCGTCAGACAAATTGTCTGACGATCGCAAATAGCGATGCACACAGAGACGCATATATATATATATATATATATATATATATATATATATATATATATATATATATATATATAGTGATTGTGTCAGCATAGTTACTATGCATTAGGTACGTCCACGAAAAAAAACTTTCTTGAAGCTTTTGTTTTAGTTTTAATTCCAAGCTGACAGATTAAATTTAAAATTTACAAAGAGTAAAATACTTTGCTGTCATTCAAAACTAATCTAACTTGAATGGGAGGAAATTTCGTTTTGAAATTTCTTAATTTTTTGCTCCATTTTTAGCAAAAATATAAAATATCTTTACTAAAATATATATTTCCTAAAAAATATATATTTCCTAAAAAATCTCTTTACTAAAAAGATCTCATTAATAAAAAATCCGTTTAATAAAAATCTCTTTATGGAAAATCTCTTTATTAAGAAATCTTATTTCTTAAAAAATCTCATTTTTTTAAAAATCTCATTATTAAATAATCACTTAACTAAAAAATCTCTTTACTAAAAAATCTCTTTACTAAAAAACGCTTTAATAAAAGATCTCTCTACTAAAAAAAAATCACTTCATTAAAAAAAATCTCCTTCCTAGAAAATATCTTCATTAAAAATCTCTTTACTAAAAAGATCTCATTAATAAAAAATCCGTTTAATAAAAATCTCTTTATGGAAAATCTCTTTATTAAGAAATCTTATTTATTAAAAAATCTCTTTTTTTTTTAAATCTCATTATTAAATAATCACTTAACTAAAAAATCTCTTTACTAAAAAATCTCTTTACTAAAAAACACTTTAATAAAAGATCTCTCTACTAAAAAAAAATCACTTCATTAAAAAAAATCTCCTTCCTAAAAAATATCTTCATTAAAAATCTCTTTACTAAAAAGATCTCATTAATAAAAATCCGTTTAATAAAAATCTCTTTATGGAAAATCTCTTTATTAAGAAATCTTATTTATTAAAAAATCTCTTTTTTTTTTAAATCTCATTATTAAATAATCACTTAACTAAAAAATCTCTTTACTAAAAAATCTCTTTACTAAAAAATCTCTTTACTAAAAAACGCTTTAATAAAAGATCTCTCTACTAAAAAAAAATCACTTCATTAAAAAAAATCTCCTTCCTAAAAAATCACTTCATTAAAAAAAATCTCCTTCCTAAAAAATCACTTCATTAAAAAAAATCTCCTTCCTAAAAAATATCTTCATTAAAAATCTCTTTACTATAAAAGTTCATTTACTAAAAAATCTTCCAAAAATAAAATATACTTTTCTGAAACTTTATTTGATGAATGTTAGCTGGTTTAAAGTATAATTAATCTGTTATTTACTTTAAGTCTAAAATATCACATAAATCCTTTTTCTTAACACCGTTGGTAGCTGTTCATTTATGATGTTGACAGCTTTTTAACGGCTCCCTGGATGCTGAATGACAGATATATGTTTATCTCATGTTGTCCTACGGGGATTTTAACCGTAAAAATCGTTGAGCAATATAAAGCAATCTTGAAAATCAAAAAAATATTCTATCTAATCTTATGTTTTATTAAATTTTAGAGATTTTTTGCTGTAAATTTACTATAATTATTGGTCTTATTATCTGATAATGTCGTGTACGAGCATCCGTATCTACAAAAATCGGCATCCTTATACACATACAAAAACAATTGAAAATTCTTTTAACAATAATTAGTTTGTCAGATTACAATAAGCTTCACGATATATGATTAGTAAATATAGTTTTACTTGATAACAATATTCACTAAGAGTTACACCATTGAAACTAAATTTTAAAACTTTATAAATTATTCTAATTAAAATTGTAGAAAAATTAAAACAAATCTTGTAAAAAAAACACTTTTCCTAGTGCACATTTTTTTTTACCTCCCATCATCATGGCGGAGGTTAACCTTGAGGAGATTCGGTCATTGCGTCTTCTCCGTCTAACGTTCTCTATTGACATGAAATGGAACGATTATATTGAATCAGTTGCTAGGTCTTCTACAAGAAATGTTGGCTCACTGTTTCGTTCTATACAATTTTGCACGATTATTATTATTATTGTTATTATTATTATTATTATTATTATTATTATTAATGATAATATACATTTATATGTCTACCATTTGTTCATACATGGTCTGGTGCTTCTGCTCCGTATTTAGAGAATCTGCAATATTATCGGTCGTGACCTGGCATCTCTGCTTCAGTCGCTTTCCCACCGCCGTCAAGTGCCTATTCTATATATCTCTCATGGCAATTATTCTGATGACCTTTCCTCTTTGCTACATGGATATTACGAATTTAAGTGCAGTACTAGATTGTCAGTTAGGTCTCATTATTTTACAGCTGAAAAAACTTAACCCTCACAGGGCATATTGATGGCAAGAAGGCTAGAGGAAAGCATCGATTCACTTATCTGATGAGTTTGTGCGAATGTATGGCAGATTAGCAATTGTCCAAAAATTAAGGTTCACAAGGGATAGGAAGTTGTGGAGAGCTATGATCGCCTAGGTCATGAGGAATGCAGGTATTAAAGGAAATAAATCAACTGATTCTTGTGCTCGAAGACTTTTCTATTTTACACATTGCATTGATTTTTTTTCTTCCTCATCTGGTCTGGTGCTTCTCTTATGTATTTAGAGATTCTTGATAAAATACAAAGAAGAATCTGCAATATTACCGGTCCTGACCTGGCATCTCGGTTTAAGTCACGTTAGCGACGCAGCAACATAGCTTCCCTGTGCTTTTTTCTATAAATACTTTCATGGTAATTATTCTAATGAGATTTCCTCTGGAAGCTAGACTTTATAAATATAAGCCTATTATTAGACTGACGCAAGGTCTCATCATTTACAACTGAAATGTCTAAATATAACCGTAAGTTCTATGCTAACACTTTCTTCTCACGCACATCTCGCCTGTGAAATTCTTTCGACTTCTTGATTTCTAATCAACAGTGATCCTCAAATATTCAAATGCAGCGTCAATCGTTATCTTCTGTCTTCTTAATTCCTGTTCTTTTATTGTCCTCTCTCGACTTAATAATGCTTCCCTCTTTCTAGAATTCTTTCGCACGCAGTAACCCTTTGTGTCTTGGTACTTAATGATTAAAATAAATTTTTCTTCGTTTATTTTATACAATGTTTTCAATTTCTTTCTTCGTTCATTTTATTCAATATTTTTCATAATTCTTCGATCATTTTATTCAATATTTTCAATTTCTTTCTTTCATTTTATTCAGTATTTTTTAATTTCTTTTCTCGTTCATTTTTTCAATACTTTTCATTTCTTTCTTCGTTCATTTTATTCAAAATAGTTCATTTATTTCTTTGTTCATTTTTTTCAATATTTTCAATTTCTTTCTTCTTTCATTTTATTCAGTATTCTTTTTTATCTTTCCTCGTTCATTTTATTCAATATTTCCAATTTCTTGTTTTTTCATTTTATTCAATATTTGTTTTTTTTTCACTCGTTTATTTTTTCAATATTTTTCATTTCTTTCTTCGTTAATTCCATCCAATATTTTTCATTTCTTTTCCTTCTTTCGTCTCTCACTACTATTTATTCTTTTTGCCCAATTTTTTTGGTATTATTTTTGTGTTTGATTTTTCCCTCGCTTCATTTTTATTCGTTTTTCTCAAAGCAATTGCTTGAAACTTTTGCATCAACTTAATATTAATTAATACACAATTTACCGTGTTTGACTGCATATAAAGCGCACTTTTTTTACTAAAAATATCTTTTAAAATTCCCCTGTGTCTTATATGATATATGTAGGTTTAAAATTCGCGATAGTCGGCCGAAATTAGCTACCTGGCAACTCCTATTAGCTTAGACTTAAATATGAAGAAGCAATGGAACACGTGGATGGCAATACCTGATCCCGACCTTACACTTACAGGAAGAATAAAAAGATCCAGCATTGCACAAGTCTGCGAATGGGTGAAGCGACCTTGACATAATATTAGACCAGAAATGTAAAATCTTTTAAAAAGTGTGGCATTAGCAATGCTCTCAATGGAACGGAAGATGGCGTATTATTTAACGACGATGATAGTTGCACTGAAAATGAGTGTCAGAGTTTTGATAAAGAAGACAACGAATTTTATGGATTTGAAGATGAATAAAATTTTAATTGTAACTGTATTGCTTTGCTAAATTGTAATAATTGCTTAATTTTTATTTTGTTTTCTGACCTTTGGATATAATAAAGTTTTTATAGGTACGAATTCTTTTTTTCCTATTATTTTTCGTTTAATTGTAACCATGGCTTTGTTTAACCAAAATAATACCTCATAAATATAGCCTAGGCTGTAACATTTACTAATAATTTTACTAATTTTACTAATTGCTAATTTTTTCTTGTTTTTCCCTGCTGAAATTGGCGTGCGTCTTATACAACCGTGCGTCTTATACACCCGTGCGTCTTATATGCCGTCAAATACGGCAGTGGAAAGATTGTTTAACATTAACAAAAAACGAGGGAAAGACTTTGTTAAGTCAATAATTAAGTAACTAATTAAATATGAATAAAACAATTCTATGAAAAACTACTTGCAACCTTCGCTCTAACGCATTGTAATGAAATTTGTTTTAAAAGTGCGCTAAGGTCAAAGGAGACGCAAGAAAACAATTTGACTGAATAATAATTCTATAAATCGATATGCGACAAGTCCTTTGAAAAAACAATTTGACTGAATAATAATTCTATAAATCGATATGCGACAAGTCCTTTGAAAAAACAATTTGACTGAATAATAATTCTATAAATCGATATGCGACAAGTCCTTTGAAAAAACAATTTGACTGAATAATAATTCTATAAATCGATATGCGACAAGTCCTTTGAAAAACAATTTGACTGAATAATAATTCTATAAATCGATATGCGACAAGTCCTTTGAAAAAACAATTTGACTGAATAATAATTCTATAAATCGATATGCGACAAGTCCTTTGAAAAACAATTTGACTGAATAATAATTCTATAAATCGATATGCGACAAGTCCTTTGAAAAAACAATTTGACTGAATAATAATTCTATAAATCGATATGCGACAAGTCCTTTGAAAAAAAAACAATTTGACTGAATAATAATTCTATAAATCGATATGCGACAAGTCCTTTGAAAAACAATTTGACTGAATAATAATTCTATAAATCGATATGCGACAAGTCCTTTGAAAAAACAATTTGACTGAAAACTTTTGCATCAACCTAATGAGACCTATGCGTGTCGGAATTTCTACCTAAGCATATATACGAGTGAATTATTGTGAGTATTCGGTTTGATGTATGAGGGTGAAAGAATAGGGTACACGGAATAAGGGTGGAGCACGGCTAATGTCTGCTGATGTGCCGTAAAGGTTTTTTGCAGACGAATTTACCGCTTATAATCTGTTATCTTCTTACTTAGGGAACAAGATGCAGTGAGCGATTTGAAAACGGAATCCGAAGGAGGAGATTACAGGGAAAGATGAATAATTAGGGAAGGGAACGAGTTGGGGGAGGGGGGGCGTGTGCACAGAATTTTCCCAACGGTAGGAACAAAAACTGGAAATGAAGAAAGGGGGGAAAAAAGGGAAAAGAGTCAGTTTTGAGAGAGCGACGAACAAGAATTTCCATCATGAACGCATGCCGGGATGTAAATGGAAAACTATTCCTTCGACATTTATACTTAGTAGTGGCTGCTGCTGCTGTTGCTGTTGCTGCTGCTGCTTATCATCATCATCATCATCATCCTCACAACCACCTCCACCAACACCACCACTACCACCGGCATCATCATCATCGAAATCATCCTCGTCATCGTCATCATAATCATCATCACAACCACTACCGCCACCACTACTACGACCGCCATCATCATCATCATCATAATCATCACCTCCACCACTTCTACCACCGCCATCATCATCATCATCATCATCATCACCACCACATCCACCACCACCACCACTACTACCACCGTCATCATCATCATCATCATCATCGTCATCATCATCCGCCTTGTTGTTATTAATGTTGTTCCTCTTATTTCTTCTTATTAGTAGTATTATCATTTCAATGGATTTCATCTCATGCAAGGCAATAAAGCCACTAAGACACAAGGAGTTATTGGGTGTAGAAAAATGAGAAGCAGAAAAATTACCAATGAGCGGGAACAAAAAGTGTAATCAGGAGAGTAGATAGCGATTGACATTGCATTTAAATTTTTTGCAGATTAAAGTTGGCTGGAAAGCATGGAGACCGAAGAAAGTTCCACAAGCGAGAAGTGCGAAAAAAGAAACTGTTAGCATAGAACTTACGGTTATATCTAACCAGCTCATTTGTAAATTAATGAGTCTAGTACCGCGCTTAAATCCAAAAAATAAATAAATAAATAAGAATTAGATTAAATGTCCCTTGACATGGACAGTTGGGCGATAACAGTCTACACTCCGCCGAAGACTAAATAAAGGGTTCAGTTTGGAATTCTCTGTCAATATACACCTGATGAAGGCCGGAGGCCACAATAACCGAAACGTTGTAATAATAAAAACAAAAATGAGGATAATGGTCCGTATGTAAATAGTGTAAATGTTAACTCCTCATCCCAGAAATTCAGACATTTCTAAGAGCATCAAAGGATAGGAAGTTGTGGAGAACCATGATCATCCACTTAAAATTTATTGGGTTTTTTTTTGTTTGTTTGTTTTTGTTTTTTTTTGCTGAGTTTTATTTATTAGAACTGATGGTCATATCGATGAGATAGCATTACTGTTTTTTGATGTCTTTTATGATTATAGCAGAGAACAAATACTACACTTTGATCCATACCTTATTACCTGAGATTGGAGACAAGCGAAACTCGAGTAGCACTGGCTGCTCGGTCAAAAATTGTGGAATTTCTCCATAAAAGGAAACAGTTAATATTACCATAAGTTAGCATTAAAGACGAGGATATATGCTACCCGTCCTGGGTAAGACGTTAAACTACATCCAGCAGCAAGGCCTCTGATTAGGAGATTTTGAGGAGCGTGGAACCACCTCTTATTTGCTGTTGTTCCCAGGTCCACCCTGACCCGGGGTGGTAGTACCTGTCAGGGTCCCTGCTGCTATGGGCAAATAGTTAACTATTACCAGCAATAGTTTTTTGAAAAAAATTATTACAAGCAATACAATTTTGAAAGAAAAATATTACCAGAAACAGATTTTTGACAAAACACAATATCTCCAGCAATAAAAAAATTTGTCGGCATTAAATAACCCATTGAGGTTGATATACCGTAAAACAAAATAAACCAAACCAAACGAAGATATATGGTACAATTGTTATCTACTCACACTTGCTACGGTGACAGGATATGGTACAAGGCTGGTTTAAAGAGGGGAGCCCAAGCGCGTGCATATGCGCTAAGAGAAAAGATAGGATAGTCCCCGCAAACAACGTTACACTGGCATCAATATACCACCCTCTTTGGAACCGTGCATGGCAATAATTTCTCAGCTGGGCTCTGACCGACGACAGAAATACAATTGAAAGATAAAATGTAGTTTGTCCACCAGAAGGGTAGGTACTGCACTTAGTATTTCCTTGTTGACCTACGCTGGCAAGATGTGACACAAGGTCAGTTTAAAGTGGGCAGCCCGAGCGCGTGTACCGGGCAAGGTCCCAAAATAGCCCCGCCAACGCAACCGTCAGTCCCGCTGGTAACAGTATGACAGCCGGTCTATGCACTTTATGGCACCAAGGAGGTACTGCAGGGGGCAGCTGATCCCCAAAAGCTGGCACCGCTGAAATATATTCTCACTTGCGCTCAGTCCGCAGAGCCACAACTGAGTTGCGCCCTGTCGACAGACAGAAACACAATTGGTTTGCGCGCCGACCGTCTGCTGACTGACCGCAACTCAATTGTGTCTCAGCGGACCAAGTGCAACTTATGTGTGTGTCTGCTGAGTAAGCGCACGTCACTTGTGGCTCTGTTTTCAGACAGAGCACAACTCAATTGTGTCTCTGTCTTCGAACAGAGCGCAACTCAGTTTTGTCTCCGTTTGTGGACAGAATGCATGTTAGTTGTCGCTCTGCGGACAGAGCGCTACTCAATTCTGTCTCTGTATGTGGACAGAATACCGCTGAAAGAGCCCAATTGTGTCTCTCTCTGCAGACAGAGCGCAAATGAATTGTGTCTTTGTCTGCGGACAGCGCATATACAGAGGCACAACTGATTTGCGGTGTCCGCAGGCAGAGACACAACTAAGGTCCTCTCTGTCCACAAGCAAAAACGCAATTGAGTTGCGCTCTGCCAGTAGACACAGGCTAAACTAAGGTCCTCCCTGTCTACAAACACAGGCACAATTGAGTTGCGCTCTGTCTGTAGACACAGGCTAAAATAAGGTCCTCTCTGTCTACAAACACAGACACAATTGAGTTGCGCTCTGTCTGTAGACACAGGCTAAACTAAGGTCCTCCCTGTCTACAGACACAATTGAGTTGTGCTCTGTCTGAAAACAGAGCCACAAGTGAGTTGCGCTCACTCTGCAGACACACACATAAGTTGCGCTTTGTTCGCAGAGACAAAATTAAGTTGCGGTCAGTCAGTAGACAGAGAGAAGATGTAGTTGCGCTTTGTCCACAAAGAGAGACATAAGTGAGTTTCGCTCTGGCCACAAACAGACACCAATGGGGTGTGCTCTGTCCGCAAACAGATGCATGTGAACTGCGCTCTGTCCACAGACATAGATACAACTGAGTTGCGTTATGCCTGCAGAGACTCAATTGAGTTGCGCTATATCAGCAGACAGGTATACAATTGAGTTGCACTCATTCCGTAGACAGAGACCCAAATGAGTTGCGCATTGTCTGCAGAGACACAGTGTAGTTGCGGCATGTCAGCAGGCTGAGAGACAACTGAGTTACGCTCTGTCCACAAAGAGAAACACAACTGCCCGCAAACAGAGCACCATTTCGGTGCGCTCTGTCCTCAAAAAAAGAACAACTGAATTGTACACTGTCCGGAAACTGAGTGACAACTGAATTGCGCTCTTTCCGCAAACAGAGACACAGCTGATTTGCGCTCTGTTCATGGGAAGAGACTCAAATGAGTTATGCTCTCTCCGCAGACAGAGTTACAATTGAGTTACTTTTTCCGCAGACAGACTCAGTTGAGTTGTGCTCTGTCCGCAGAGAAACAATTGAGTTGCGCTCTGTCCGCCGACACAAATGTGTTTCGCTCTGTTCACAGAGACTCACTTGAGTTGTGCTCCGTCCGCAGAGTCACAACTGCGATGCACACTTTCCGCAGACAGAGACACAATGTATTTGCGTTCTGTCCGCAGACAGATACAAAATTGAGTTACGAGACTCAATTGAGTTCCGCTCTGTCCAGTATCAGAGAGACAACTGACATGCGCTCTGTCCGTAAACAGAGGAAACATTTAGTTGCGCACTGTCCGCAAACAGGGACACAATTGAAATGCGCTCTGTCCGCATTCAGATACAGGATTGAGTTGCGCTCTGTCCGCTAACAGAGAGGCAAATTCAGTTACGCTCTGTCCGCAATCTCACAATCGAGTTGCGCTCTGTCCGCAAACAGAGAGGCAAATTCAGTTGCTTTCTGTCTTCATACAGAGACTCTACTGAAACCCAGTTTTATGTCTCTCCGAAGACATACAATTTAGAGACGAAATGTTGTTTATCCGCCCGGAGGCATATACTACACTTTGATCCCAGCCCGATGGCAAAGATATGCATAAAAACATAACTTTCCTGTTCAGGATTGTGTTTCCGGTCCATCTTAAGGGCTACTTCTAACGTCTTCGCCTGAACGCTGAAATTTTATTCGCTAATTAAATCTTGACCCCTCATAGTCTAGAATTAGCTATGTATCCTTCCTGTTTTCCTGCCCATTTCTTACAGCAACCCTCTGCCTTGAGTGGCCCTTGGGCCTTGTATTCGGTAAACATTATTAAAGATAAAATTTCAAAGAACCTCGAGCAGCACTTGTTACTCGGTCTATTATTGCCAAATGTTTTCACATTAAGAAATGACTAAAATTGCCATTAAGTACTGATGCAGGGTTTTTTTTTCAGGCTACCTTCCCGCTGCCTTGTGTACGACTTGCTTCTCGTGATCGTAGAGTCAACCCGGCCCTTGACTGTTAGGAATTTTCTTTTTGCTTTATAGATCATTATCGTAGTATTATTCATTATTAATACGACCATTGTTGTTCCTGTATATTTTTTGTTTTCTTTTCTTTCTTTAACTGCGTCATTTATTCTGTGGCTAACTCTAACGTTTTTTTTTCCTTCTTTATACTTTCCGCGTTCTTATATGCTATGCCTCTCATCTGACAGTCCCTAATCCAAGGCTAGTTTAAGCAGGCTTATTCTACTATCGCTTCTGCCTTCACAACCCCACACCCTCCAGCACACACTTCTCTCCAGGACTCTCTCATGCACGCCTCTGTTTTCATTTCCACATGTGTCCATTCTCCGACTCAGTCCCCTCACCCTGCCAACTCCTTGCATTTCCCAACCTTCCCGTATCTTTCTGGTTTTCGTTCACAATCAGCCCTAACTCCCACTTCGCAGAATATACATGTCATTCGCTCCCTGACTCAAAGCGAATGCTATTACGCGTTCTCTCTTCCTTTCTGAAAGCCCTATATTCTTTTTTACATTCTTCTCTCAACTTTATATTTATTTCAAGTTTTACTTTCACTTTCACTTTTACTTTCAATATGTTCTTTTTACTTTCACTTTCATTTTCAATATGTTTTTACATTGTATCTGCTAATCTGTTCGGGGAAAGGCTGGGGCATAATTTGTTTACTTTCTTTCATATTTTTTTTTTGTTGTTTTGTTTTTGATTTACTTTCCATCAAAAAAATCTTCTATTTTTTCTTTACATTCTTCAGTGTTCCTCACTTACCAATTTTCCAATTGAACCGACTTCTCTAATCTTGAATTTGGCTATTTCTCCGCCTTTCTTTCGATTCGTCATCAATCAACCCATCTGTTTCTATAACCCTCTGTGGATAAATCGCGATTTTCGGATCAACTAGTTACTTACCTTTTCGCAGTTTGGTCATATCTATCGCTCTCTCTCTCTGTTCACATCTATTTCATACGGCGTTCGTATTTATCAGTCGGATGCACTGGTACGGTAACGGTTATAACGTAGAGTTCAATTTCAGCCCACGCCGTTGCATTTACTTTCGCACAGACAATATACCGTTTCCTCTCTCCACTTTGGGTTAGATAGCAGGAGTCCATAGGACTGCCTAACCTTGAATGACAACCAATCTCAGAGATAGAAAAAATCATAGGGAAGGCAGCTGGACACTCCGACGTGGTGTAATGGTTAACAAGCTTGTCTTGCTAAATCAATTACGACTGAATAGTGAATTTGATCCTCACTGGGTGTATAAAACATTCGACCTTTTGCCACATCTAATTTACGCTTACAAAATAAATTTCATTTCCACGTGGTGTAATGGTTAACAAGCTTGTCTGGCTAAATCAATTACGACCGAATAGTGAATTTGATCCTCACTGGGTGTACAATACATTTGGCCTTTTGCCTCATCTAAGTTACGCGTATAAAATAAATTGCATTTCCACGTGGTGTAGTGGTTAGCTTGCTTGTCTAGCTAGATCAGTTACGACTGAATAATGATTTCAGTCCTCACTAGGTGTTCCATTTTTTCGGCCTTGAGCGACATCTAAGCGTTGCTTAGAAAATCACCATGGAAAGGGCAATAGGAAACTAATCCATTATTTTTTACAAACAATTCATAGCAAGATACGGATAGCACAATATAAAGACTGTGAAAAACTAAACGGTCATGGGAGTGCTTCTGAATCTATGGATCTATTTTTCTTCTTATTTGTCATCGTCTGTGTTTCCAATACATTCTTATCTATCTATCTATCTATCTATCTATCTGTTTATTTATATCTATTTTCTGTCTGTTTTTGTATATTTGTAGTACAGATAGAAATTTCAAGGTCACATAATGAGAAAAGAAGGCTTGGAAAATTTGACGCACACAGGAAATATCGAAGGCAAGAGAGACAGAAGAATGCATTCGCAAAATCTACCTGGCGAGAATGGGTGAATAGATGACTGAGTAGGGTTTGGGCCAGATAGTGATAGGACAAAAATTATTGAGAGCTACAAAAGACAGGAAGTTGTGGAGAGCCATGATCGCCAACGCTCTGAAAAGACAGCACATAAAAGAAGAAGTCGTATCTTGGGCACACAATGAGGAAAGAGGGCTTTGAAAATTTGTCACGCACAGGACATAGTGATGGCAAGAGGGACAGAGAAAAGCGTCACATAATTGACAGGGATTAGGAGAGATACCAAAAAAAATCTTTGCTAAAGAACGGGAACTTGTGGAGAGCTATGATCACACATGTCCTGAAGGGACACGGCACACAGAAGAAGAATCTGTTTTCAAATTTTGTTAGCGTTGGTTTCTTTCAGTCTCTGTAAAGTGCCATTTTCTCTTTGCGTCTTTATCCCCGGCGTGCGACAGTGACTAACAAGGTGGGTCTGGCTAAAGATTTATTAATTTCGATCATCACATTAAATGACCCAACAAGTGTTGACATGTCGAAAAATCAATGAACCAAACATCAATGTTGGCTAATGTTTGATTAGTCTGATTAATGATTTCTACTGAGTAGAAACTTCGATCCTCACCGGGTGACGCACACAAAACTTATCATTAAATAACACATATATCATAAACACATATATCATATAACACATAAACACATATATCATATAACACATATATCATATAAATAACACATATATCATAAAACTAAACTGCGTGAAGGTTTTTTTTATTATTATTTATACGAGTCAACAAATTTATTTTTATGTTTCCAATTAAATCTCAAGTAGCGGAAAATCGGCAATTTCTTTTTATGTGTTTGTTTTGCTTCTTTTCTTCACATTGATTTATGCCGCTGTAAGAGGGTACAAATGAAAATATTTAAAAAAGAAGGAGGATACAAATGAAAATATTTAAAGAAGTAAGAGGGTACAAATAAAAATTTTCAAGAAGTAAGAGGGTACAAATGAAAATATTAAAGAAGGAGGGTACAAATGAAAATATTAAAGAACTAAGAGGGTACAAATGAACATATTTAAAGAAGTAAGGGGGTACAAATGAAAATATTTAAAGAACTAAGAGGGTACAAATGAACATATTAAAAAAGTAAGAGGGTACAAATAAATATATTAAAGAAGAAGGAGGGTACAAATGAACATATTAAAGAAGTAAGAGGGTACAAATAAATATATTAAAGAAGTAAGAGGATACAAATGACAATATTCAAAATTGTCAAGGTCTTTCATTTCACTAAAGCAGACGTTAGACGAGGAGTGCTAAATAACTAAAAAATAGCGTCTCATATCTTTTCCGACTTTCCTCGTAAACAAATCAAAATGGTCTATTTGCTACCCATTTTTTATCGTGAGCGTCACCGTGTAAAATGCCCGGGGGGCACTCAAGGTAGAGGGTTAGAGAGTAGGAGACACATTTTAGGCGGATAGATGAGGAAGATAACCCTAGACTTGAACAGGTTAAGATTGTAGGGATCGGGAAAACATCCCCCTTGGAACCGGTTCCAGAGAGCAGTGGTTCGCGGGGCGAAGCTTCTTGAGTGGAACTTAAGCTCTCAATAATGGAATACGAAGGGAATGAGGGTGATTCGCTACAATGGGCGTGGCATGACGGGTCCCCGCCATGAAGGTTAGAACTCGTAGAACAAAGGAATGTCGTTCATTCAGTGCATAGCTAGCGATAGTGCAATGAGAGGCTTGCAACATCTCGTCTGTGAGAGAAGGGCTGCAGGGTGGGAGATAATTTATCACCCACAAGGACGCGGAGACGCTTTTTGGGAAATGAGATCTGGGCAGTTCCTGTCCAAATATGACAGCAGTACGGATCTGACTCTTTTAAAGGTAGAGGATAGCACAAGGCGTCAGATAAGCGCTGGAATGGGGCAGGGAATCGACCATTCTTCATGTAACATTAGCAGAGAACCGTATGTACGAGATCCACTTGCGGTCTGGGTTGAGTTTGAGGCACAACAGACGCTCAAGGCACGGAGCGTCGCTGAGGGAACACTCATTCATCGTGACTGGTGGTAGCTCAGGGCGATGACGGAATGTTTGTTTTTTGAGACATTGATTATAACCAAACAGTTTTTCCCCTCACTGAAATGTTAGAGCCAGATCGAATGAGACATTAGCTGCCAACCTCTGGTCATCATATTCTAGGTGAATTTATGTATTTTTGTACCCTTATTTATAGCAACACATCTATAGACATTCAACCTACTCAAGAGTGAGGCTAGCCGGAACTAAACAAAAAGATTAGGGATTTACTCCGACTGCTGCTGTTTTGTGGGCAGGAGGCAGGCAAGCTATGACGTAACACACAAGGTGACGAAGTAACAAAAAATAAGCAGAATTATGATAGCAGTCTTTTTATTTGGTTGGTATTTGTTTATCTATCTTTTGCGTATTTCTGTAGCGATTGACCATCTTGTAGAGATTTCAACAGGTTTTCAAAGAAATATGGCGTAATTTTCTTTTCCACCATAGTCATTTAGTCATTCAGTTCTCAAATAATAAATGGCGGTTCAAAATTCAGCGTTGGAAGATATCATTGAAGATATATAGCCATGAAGAGAACTGCTTACATGAGAAGATAGACAGGTAGATATATGGATAAGGAGGTCGGGAACGAGATAGATAGATAGATAGATAGATAGATAGATAGATAGATAAGGAACAAAGGAAAAAAAGAAAGAAAGAAAGATGGTCATTGAAAGAAAAATATTGTGATAGATAGATAGATAGATAGATAGATAGATAGATAGATAGATAGAAAATATAAAGAAAGATTGAAAAAAGAAAGAAAGAAGATAGATAGATAGATAGATAGATAGATAGATAGATAGATAGATAGATAGATAAAGAAAGAATGAAAAAAGAAAGAAAGAATATAGATAGATAGATAGATAGAGAGATAGATAGATAGATAGATAGATAGATAGATAGATAGATAGATAGATTAGGATCAAATAAGAAAGAAAGAGAGAGAGATGGTCATTGAAAGAAAAACAGATAGACAGATAAAGAAAGAAAGAAAGAAAGAAAAAAGAAAGAAAGAAAGAAAGAAAGAAAGAAAGAAAGAAAAATAAAGAACGAAAAAGATTAAAATAGATAGACAGATTTCGGACTTACTTTTCTCTCAATCAATTGTCCTCCCTATACATCTTCCTTTTTCAGGAATATTTGTACAAGCGCATGCGCACGCACACACGCACACAACGCATTTTGTTACAGAATAAGCAACGACCAGCTTGCGTGTCTGCAGACGCTCGAACACTCGAACCGTGTCTTTCCTCTTTCTTTCTCTCTCTCTCTCTCTCTCTATCTATCTATCTATCTCTATCTATCTATCTATCTGTCTATCTATGTTATGTAGTTTCGCTAGGTTTTACAAAATCCTCCAAGTATACGCTTAGAGGCCGCTGAGGAAGGTCGAACGCGTTACATCACCTAATGGTCTATTCGACAACCTAAACATCGCGATAAGCAAAACCTGCTTTTCCTTATTTTGCGTTTTCTATCAAAGGCTGAAACATTGTCGCCATTTTAAGCATCGTCGTTTGTTTGTTTGTTTTGTTTTTGTTTTTTGATTTTTTTTTTTGTTTTACCAAAGTTTATATTTGCATGTAAAAAAAAAAAGTAAGTTTGTTTCTTTTGTCCAATTCTTCCTTTTTCACCTTTTTTTTTACAGTTTATTATTACTATTTTTATTCTTTTGTTTTTTTTTCTCTGCATTCTTGTCACCCTTGAATTTCATTCGTTGTTTCCTCGATCTCACTATGTTTTCTTTTATTCTATTAACGTCACACTTTTCTCTCCCATGGCTTCGATTGGCATCTCCCCCCCCCCATTTGCTTCTATGAGCAACTTCCTTTTCTCCCCCCATGCTTTCCTTTACCGGTTCCTTTTCTCTCCTGTTGCTTACTTTAACGTCTGCTTTTTTTGCTCGGTGATTCCTTCAGCGTATTACTTTTCGCTCATGCTGCTTTCATCAGCGTCTACCTTTTCTCCCACATAGCTTCCATTACCGTCTCCTTTTTCTCGCCTGCTGTCTCCTTTAGAGTATCCCTTCTGTCGCCTCTTTCTTCATTTAGCGTCTATCTTTTTCCCCCGTTGCTTACATTAGCGTCTCTCTTTCACCGCTCGTTGCTTCCATTACCAAACTTCCATTAGCGTCTCCCTTTTCTACCTCGTTTCTTCGATTATCGGGTCCCTTTTCTCTACCGTTTCTTCCATTATCGTCTCCTTTTTCTATCCTATTGCTTCCGTTAGCGTCTTCCTTTTCTTCCCCTTCGTTTTCTTTAACGTCTCTCTATTCTCTCCAGTTGCTTCCATTAGCGTCTTTCTTTTTCTCTCTTGTCGCTACCTTTAGTGTCTCCTTTTTCTCCCCAACTGCTTCCATTATCATCTCCCTTTTCTCCATCGTTGCTTCCTTATAGTCTCCCTTTTCTCCATCGTTGTTTCCTTAAAGTCTCCCTTTTCTCCCTAGATGCTTCCTTTAGTGTCTCCCTTTTTCTCACCCGTCGCTTCTTTTAGTGTCTCCCTTTTCTCTCGTGTCGCTTCTTTTAGTGTCGCCCTTTCGTCTCTCGTTACTTCCTTTAGCGTCTCCTTTTTTCTCCCCTGTCGCTTCCTTTAGGGTCTCCCTTTTCTCTCTTGTCGCTTCTTTTAGTGTCGCCCTTTCCTCTCTCGTTACTTCCTTTGGCGTCTCCTTTTTTCTCCCCCGTCGCTTCCTTTAGTGTCTCCTTTTCTCTTCTCGCTTCTTTAGTGTCGCTCTTTCCTCTCTCGTTACTTCCTTTAGCGTCTCCTTTTTTCTCCCCCGTCGCTTCCTTTAGTGTCTCCTATTTCTCTCTTGTCGCTTCTTTTTAGTGTCGCCCTTTCCTCTCTCGTTACTTCATTTAGCGTCTCCTTTTTTCTCCCCCGTCGCTTCCTTTATTGTCGCCCTTTTCTCTCTTGTCGTTTCTTTTAGTGTCGCCCTTTCCTCTCTCGTTACTTCCTTTAGCGTCTCCTTTTTTCTCCCCTGTCGCTTCCTTTAGTGTCTCCTTTTCTCTCTTGTCGCTTCTTTTAGTGTCGCCCTTTCGTCTCTCGTTACTTCCTTTAGCGTCTCCTTTTTCTCCCCTGTCGCTTCCTTTATTGTCTGCCTTTTCTCTCTTGTCGCTTCTTTTAGTGTCGCCCTTTCCTCTCTCGTTACTTCCTTTAGCGTCTGCTTTTTTCTCCCCTGTCGCTTCCTTTAGTGTCTCCCTTTTCTCTCTTGTCGCTTCTTTTAGTGTCGCCCTTTTCTCTCTCGTTACTTCCTTTAGCGTCTCCTTTTTTCTCCCCCGTAGCTTCCTTTAGTGTCTCTCTTTCCTCTCTCTCGTTTCTTCCTTTCGCACCTCTTTTTGTCTCCTTTCTCATCTCCTTTTTTTTCTTCTACCTTTTCCTCCTTTCGCGTCTCCTTTTTCTCTCTGGTTCCTTTCCAAATAAATAAATTATGGGAATTTACAGATGATAAATGAATCTATAGAAATTCATGACAGCCAATTTCCTGAAATAATACGGCATTTAAAAAAAAAAAAAAAAAAAAGAAGCATTGCATACTGAAAATGTTAATTATTTACTTGTATTATCAAATTCAGAATCTTAGATTTTAATGCGCACAGATATTACTGTTGTTGCCCTGACTGAATACGATTTAAAAAGAAACAATTCTCTCAGAAGTAATTTTTTTTTTAGGTGGGGGGTCTTAAAACTAAATCATCCTAGTGTTACCTCACAACAGAAATAGAACGAACTTTTAGTCACCCAAATAAAGCACAATTATCGAAAACCCTGAATTTTTCTCTCAGCTTTTTCTTTGTTGTGTTTTATTAACACAGTCGTCAAGAAACTGGCTGTGTCATCACCTGAAAACGAAGGGCAGTAGCAGAAGCAAAGAACCAACTGACGGCTGCTAACTCTCTAACAAATACGAACAGAGAGAGGGGGAGAGAAGGAAGGGGAGATAGGGGGGAAGGAAGGGGAGAGGGAGGGGGAGAAGGATGGGGAGAGGGAGGGGGGAAGAGAGCAAGGTGACAAGACAGACGAAGGCGTGCTATGTTTCTTTTATCTTTCTTTCACCAGTTGCAAATGTATCGCTTTCCTTTGCATTAAGTTACAAGGCGTGCACTTCAAAAAGAGGTCTAGGCTGATGCGAATACCTGTCGCAGCTGCCGAAAAGGCTGATCGTTGGAGTGAAGTGAGCGCGTTTGGGTAGATACGGGTAGATTTCGATAGAGAAGATGCTAGTAGGTAGATACATGCTGAGAGGTGCTAGTAGTTAGAGATAGAGAGGTTCTAGAAGAAAGAAAGAAAGAAAGAAAGAAAGAAAGAAAGAAAGAAGATTGTCATAGAAAAATACTGAGATAGATAGATAGATAGATAGATAAAGGAACAGACAAAGAAAGAAAGAAAGAAAGAAAGAAAGATCGTGATAGATAGATAGATAGATAGATAGATAGATAGATAGAAAAAGATTGTCTTAGAAAATATTGAAATAGATAGATAGATAGATAGATAAAGGAACAGACAAAGAAAGAAAGAAAGAAAGAAAGATCGTGATAGATAGATAGATAGATAGATAGATGGTATTGCTTTTATGTCCATCGTCTTTTTCATGTTGAATTGTATATTGTCTATGTTAATTATCTTTTATGAATATGTCCTGAAGATGGTCTATTAGACCGAAACGTCCGACGTTGACATTAAACATTAAAACAGCATAATCGCATATTAGGATTTTTGTTTGTTTTTTCAGTATAGTTTTCTTCTTAGATAGATAGATAGATAGATAGATAGATAGATAAAAAGAAAGAAAGAAAGAAAAAAAGAATGAAAGAAATAATGAAAAAGATTATCATAAAAAGAAAAAATTGTTAAATATAAATACATAGATAAGCAACGGACATAGATAGATAGATAGATAGATAGATAGATTTTAAAGACACATACACACACACATATATATATAGAGAGAGAGAAAGAGAGATATAGAAATGAACAGAGTATAGATAGATAGATAGATAGATAGATAGATAGATAGAGACAGACGTACGAACGGCTTCAGGGATGAATGAATTAAAATAAATGCGAACATACTGATGAACAGTCTGAAATAGTTCAGAATTGTTCACGTCTAACCAATTCACTGCATTGCAACTGTTTATATATAGCATCATTCAACTTACCGCCGTTTACCAAGTTCACTTTTGTCAGCATCCATTGTAATGAATCTCTCTAAAGATCGAACCCGTTACGTAAGGCAAACTTCTTAGACCTGGCGCTAAATTACGAAGGTAGCTTAGTGGAAATATATTTCCAAGAAAGATACCGAATAATTACGCATCATGGCGGGATGGATTGTTGCGCGGCTATTTAGGCCTACATTAAAAAGACACACATTTTCTCAAAAACAGCATCAGAAATGTCTATAACAATGGCAGATAACTGATTCTGTGTGTAGCGTCTTCGGTGGGGATTTCTGAGCTGTCTAATGCTGTAGGGGTCAAGACATTTTGAGTCATTAAGACCGGTAGAGAAACTTCCGAGTATCTGCGTAGTGTGGTAACAGACGCCGGCATATATGACGCAGAAATCCGAAGACCTACATGATTGAATATTGAGACATTATCACCGGTAAAGAATCTGTCTGTGGAGTGTATTAACAGAAGACGATAATAAATGCTGCCTAATCCATTTTTAAAACATTATGACGGGTAGAAAAACTTTAGCTATTGTTGTGGTAGGATCCACCTAATTTGCATAGTGGAGTACCGACCATATAAATATGGTTGGTACCGGGTAGAGAGGGGAGGAATCAAGAGATTCAACCAGAGACTCTGCCCGACTGCGACTCAGTCAACACATTCTCCAGGAACGGTCTTCCCAGGAATATACAAAAGACTATATGTAAATATTATGTACACTTTCTTGTTTCAATACATTTTGTTCTAAGTACATTTTGTGTTGCATTATTATTCCATGCATTAGTCAAGTTTCAACAGCTATCTAGGTAGTGTGATAACAGACAACGTGCTATATGACACATAAATCCGACCAGCTGTAAGATTGCATTTCAAGATATTATGACCGGTGTAAAACATTTAGCTCTCTGGGTAGTGTGGTAACAGACGGCGTGATATGTGACACAGAAATCCGAAGATCTGCAGGATTGAATTTTGAGACGTTATGACCAGTAAAGAAAACTTAGCTATCTGGGTAATGTGATAAAAAAAACTATATATGTGACACAGAAATCCGAAGATCTCCATGATTGCATTTTGAGATATTATAAGCGGTAGGGAAATTTTACCTATCTGGGTAGTGTGGTAACAGACAACGGGATATGTGACACAGAAATCCGAAGAGCTGCATTTTGTGACATTATGACCGATAGAGAAAACTTAACAGACTGGATAATGTGGTAACAGAAGAGAGAATGCGTGACACAGAAATCCGATGACCTATAGAAACAGCAAAATTCAGAAATCTTACTTATTATAAAACGCAGATTGTGTTTGTGTGTGTGTGTGTGTGTGTGTGTGTGTGTGTGTGTGTGTGTGTGTGTGTGTGTGTGTGTATGTGCGTTTATATATTGGATCAGATTTCCTACATTTTTCAACCGATTTCAATAAAATGTCACAGAACTACGTAAAATTACCTTGCGGTGGTTCTAACAGCGCCAAAAATTGGAAAAACACAATAGTTTTTGCACGAAATCAATTTGAAAACACGATTAAGAGGCATCACGAGAATTAAAAGGGGACAACTCATATCGAGTTATACTTATTATAAAACCCAGGTTGTGTGTGTGTGTGTGTGTGTGTGTGTGTGTGTGTGTGTGTGTGTGTGTGTTCGTTTATATATGGGATCGGATTTCCTACATTTTTCAACCGATTTCAACAAAATTTCATTTCTTTTTTTTTCTTTTTTTTTTGGCAGGTAGTGTTTCTTATTGTCTTGCACACTTTTTTCTTTATTTTTACATTCAGAATGCTTTAAAAATTCCATTTACAAGACAATTGTTTATAATAAAATTCTATTCAATCGGTAAACTCATAACGATTGAAAACAATGTTTTTGTTTGAGTTTGGGTTTGACCAATTCGTAAAAAAGAAAAAAAAAAAAAAAAAGATAATTAAGACATGCGTGTCCGTCAACCCTAAACAATAATCTTTGTCAATTTTATTTTTCAGTCTTTATGATGGTCGATACTTGATCTATCTCTTACTGTTACATCCCCGGGCAACGCCGGGCTCTACTGCTAGTTAGTAAATAACCCTATAATGAAATACAAGATTGTTGAACTGCTATGGAATATCTAATATCCTACTTACAATCTGCGTATGACTGAAAATGAGAACCTGATATCCAAAGACGCAGTGTAATAGCGAAACAGCTGTCTTTTCTCGAAATATGTTCATGGCAA